ATCGAATACCTCGTGCCACTTATAAATTATCTACATTAAATAAGAGTCTGGACTGTCGCTTCCGCTTCCTTGTAGTTTTCTTTATCCTCGGAATTTATTACTGCGGCCTCTGGTAGAGCTGGGAGGGCGCGGCGTCCCTGGTCTCCGCCGCGGCAAGAGCGTCTTCCTCAGCTGCCTTTGCGATCTGCCTGAGCACGAACTCGGGAATCTCATGAGGGAATTCGGGAGCAATTGGCAGGTGGTCACCCTCGGGCTGGAAGCCGTCCTCGTTGGCCACGTAGGTGACCTCGATCAGGCTGCCGTCGGGAGCAGTGTACCTGCAAAGGAAAGTATGTAGATGTAAGATATATCAATTCCTATTTTTTAAGCCAATGAAATAGCGTCGACAGAAATGATGAGAATGTTTGGAATACTCCACAGAGTAACCGAAAGCCTAAAAAATGGAGTGCATAACTTCACTGTTATGTGAAACAGAGGTGTGCAGCTTCCAGTGAAAGTCAGTGATCTAATACGATACGAATTCTGCAGCGGGGAAAAGACTATGTGTTTCTCTCTACGAACAATAGAATACTCACGAGAACTGCCCAGAGGCAACGACCGCACCCTCAGGCCCTTCGGGAGCGCCAGACTCTGCAACGTGAATGCCGTCGCCAGTCTCAACGTCGTAGCTGTAAGTGCCGTCGCCCGGGTGAGCTCTGTCGTCCCTCAGGATGGGTACGACCGGGGCTGCGTCGAGTGTTCCTCGGGAGGAGGGCACGGCGTAGGAGGGAGAGGGATCGGGCGCCGGGTACCCTGTCTCGGGGGCGGCCCAGGCCACGGCGGAGAGGGCGACGAGGATCACCTTCGGGGAATTAGAAATTGAAGTTCGGTCTTTGATTCCTTTTTCCCGTATTCGAATGAAAATAATCCATATATAGACCTATTTCTGGACTATATACTATGATTCCTTATCTCAACAATATATCACCAACGTTCCTATGAAGAACACAGAATACCTATGGCTAAGTCAATGACTGATTTTATCATTATCATTACTAGTTGGTTGCAATTCAGTACAACGTAATTCTTCCACAGTTCCCAACAGTGTTGAAATATAGACTTACAAACTTCATGATGCTGATTTCAGTCCCGAACTGATGCGCTGGTCTCAGCATGGGAAACTTTATATACACCAAAGGAAAGGCTGTCCTTGAATCCCCCCCCCACCCACCCCCACCCCCCCCCCACTCTCCATGCACTTCGTCCCAAACGATGTTGCTCATCATGACCGAGTTTGCATGAATCTTCTAGTTTTCCTCTGATATCAAAGTTCCAGATTTTGTGACTAGTTGGTCGAGACATATACATTAATATATCGGCTGGTTTATTGGGCAAGTGTTGTGTATTTGCGCAATTTTATCTTTCCTTTATGAACGGTTTTCGAATGTAGATTTTTTTTCTTCTATTTATCCTTCCTAGTTCTGGCTATTATTATCATTGTTATTATTATCATTAGTAGTAGTATCATCATTATTATATTATTATTATTATTATTATTATTATATTATTATCATTATTATCATTATCATATTATCATTATCATTATTATTTCCCTTCTTCCACTTCTTCCTCCTCTTCTTCTTTGTCTTCATCCTTTTTCCTTATTAGGAAAAGAACAGGGTCGACCCCCTCTCTCCTTATAAGGCGATGGAAACAAAGGAAAGTAACGCGTGAAGAAGAGAGATGTAGTGAGAAGTAAAACAATTCTTGGGTTCGGATAATTTCCCATTTGAAATGATGTAGGCCTATTCCACGGCTTTATACACAAGTTTTTTTTTTTTTTTTTTTTCAAAAGATGCGCCCCCAGTGTAACCATGTTGATTAACGTACACATAGGTGTGTGTGGATGGGGGGGATGCGTGCATTTGCGTATGTGTGTATTTGTGTGTGTGTGTGTGTGTGTGTGTGTGTGTGTGTGTGTGTGTGTGTGCGTCGGTGGGTGATTGTCAATGTTATGTATGAATCTATACCTGTACATAAATCTCTCTCTTTCTCTCTCTTTCTCTCTCTCTCTCTCTCTCTCTCTCTCTCTCTCTCTCTCTCTCTCTCTCTCTCTCTCTCTCTCTCTCTCTCTCTCTCTCTCTCTCTCTCTCACACACACACACACACACACAAGACACACACACACACACACACACACACACACATAAAGACACACAAACACACACACGCATTATCATGAATCCACAAGCAAATCACTGATGTCTTTGTCTTACCCTAAGGTATTAACGTCTAATGATAGTCAGTGGAATCATCAATAAACGATAATAAAAAAAAGATAATAATAAATAGAGTGAGCGAAAGATACATGAACAGGATTCATACAAAAAGCTATTTCTTTTTTCCACTGCTTTCGTTTGTTTTATCTTCCTTCGATCAGTCACGCACGTCCACATCGCTCAAGTGCAAGTGATAGTCTCTGGAAACCAACATTTTTGCCTGCAGTTGACTGAAATGTTACGACAATACATAATGATAAGTTGGATAATATATTGGCTATTCTTCTGCGATAAATCGGGTGATTCTTTGACAAGATCAGGCAAGTGGAATTCTAGGTATTTTGAGACAGACATCTAGTCCTCAACTGTGATGTAAAAATGCATATGATCGAAAAGCAACATCTATTCAGTATCTTCTGCTATGTATGAAACATCTATGATAACGTATTTACTTTTTTTTTTTTTACTTGTATTGGCAAACAGTCCAAGTTACTCAGACGTTAATATATACATAAACATCCACCCAAGATCTCGATTTATAAACCTACAGGTCGATCCACTTCCACACCTCAATCCCTGGTAGGCACTGTTGTTATTTTTGTTGTGATAAGCAGCAGTCCTCGAACTCATCTAAGATAATCCTTTCACCAGGGTTTCATGATTGTTAACCCACGCACTCAATTACATCATGTTACCCAACTCTTTATCCCAGCATTCCTCTCCAGGCCACATTTCCTCCACCTTTCCACTCCACATTTTCTCCCCCGGGTTCAACAGCTGATTGTTACGTCACTGTTGCCTCGTCGTCGATTTTTCCTCTACAGTCCACTCGTCTTCTCTCCAGGCCTTAGGATTTGTTGTTTTCTTATACACCTATATATTATTTTCCGTTTTATTTTTTCTTTTTTTTCTTTCTTCTTCTTTTTCCTCTACAGTCCACTCGTCTTCCCCAGGCCTTAGATTTTGTTGTTTTCTTATTCACGTATATATATTTTTTTTCGTTTTATTTTTTCTATTTGTTTCTTTTTCTTCTTCTTCTTTTCCTCTACAGTCCACTCGTCTTCTCTCCAGGCCTTAGAATTTGTTGTTTTCTTATACACGTATATATTATTTTCCGTTTTATTTTTTCTATTTGTTTCTTTTTCTTCTTCTTTTCCTCTACAGTCCACTCGTCTTCTCTCCAGGCCTTAGAATTTGTTGTTTTCTTATTCACGTCTATATTTTTTTCTCATTTTATTTTTTTCTATTTGTTTCTTTTTCTTCTTCTTTTCCTCTACAGTCCACTCGTCTTCTCTCCAGGCCTTAGAATTCGATGGTTTCTTATATACGTATATATATTTTTTTTTTCTGGTTTATTTTTTTGTTTCTTGTTTTTTTTTTTTCTTTCTTTCTTTCTTTCTTTTCTTGCATTCTGATATTTTTCTCTTTGGCTGTAGGTGTTAGAGCTAATGACTGCAAATGGATATGCTTTCCTGAACATATCCTTTAGACTATTTCGAACTTTCCTTGATTAGTTATACATAAGAAACCACACACACACACGCACGCGCGCATTATCCTACTTTTTTTTTCTAATCACTTTCATTGCATTTCGATCAAGTGACATATACTAAATCCAATCTTTCTTAAAATCCGCTTCCATTATTCGTACTCCCTGGTGCTTATTATTCAGATCACAAAAATAAGAAAATTAACGCATATTCACATCAACTACTGGTTGCCAGATTCCTTATGTTGGTTAATTGTCTGATTATTATCTTATATTTGATCTTATTTTCTTCTTATTATGCAACTTTGTTTTGTTTGAACTTGTTATTTCCAGTTATGTAAATATCTAATAAATGAGTTATATTCACCAGTATATGTCAAATGTGTAGTCTTGTGTCTCCCCAACACGAGTCATATGTTGTCTTCTATATCTCTAACGTCAATTATATGTGTTGTATTCTCTACCTTCAACATGAGTCATATATGTTGTATTCTTTATCTCCAACATGTCATATATATTACATTCTATAGTTCTCTAACATGAGTCAAATATGGTGGGTTCTCTATCTCCTACATGAGTTAAATATATTGTATTATCTATCTCCAACATGAGTCAGATATGCTGTCTTATCAGTCTCCAACATGAGTCAGACATGTTGTATTCTCTAACCCCACCATGAATCTTATATGCTATCGTCTTCATCTCCAATATGAGTCATATGTGTTGTCTACTTTCCTACAACATGAATCATGTGTTTTCTTTGATTCCAACACAGTTCATATACGTTATCCTCCCTGTGTCTCCAACATGGGTCATATATGCTGTCTTTATCCCCAACATATACAAATTCTCTTTTCTTTCTTCATGAGTCACATAGGCTGTTTTCTCTATCTCCAACATGAGTCGTACAAATTGGCTTTTCTTTCTTCAACATGAGTAACATACGTTGACTTTTTTACCTCTGACAATGCCATATGCGTTGTATACTCTGTCTCCAATATGAGTCATATATGTTGTTCCTACTTTTAATACTGGTTAATAATTATCTTAGGTATTGTCTAGATTAGTCATTCCATCTTTATTCATTCTAATGTGTGCTTTGATAGTTTCTTTGCTTAATGATCATTGATAATGCTTGCGTTTTTGAACATTTTATAGTTACTCTTAATGTGAACTTGTGCTGTGAAATGTTCACGAATTTGTTTATCCATATCCAAGAGGCTGCTTAAAATTATCAGTTCCTATGGATTGTG